ATCCTTACGTACCAAAGTTTGTTTTGGAGTTCCGCAAGGTTCTGTGCTCGGACCAATCCTATTTACTCTATATATGCTTCCTTTAGGTAACATCATTAGAAATCACTCTATAAATTTCCATTGTTATGCGGATGATACTCAGTTGTATTTATCGATGAAGCCAGAAGAAAGTAATCAATTAACTAAACTCCATAACTGCATAATCAATCAATTAACTCCATACCTAAACTCCATAACTGCATAATCAATCAATTAACTCCATACCTAAACTCCATAACTGCCTGAACATTCTTCTCACCAAAAATCCTCCAGGTCCAGTAAATTCTAAGGCTGTCTTGCTTATGTGAGGAGACAGTGATACCAAGTCCATTATTGTTTAACAGTGAACGGCAGCATCAGGGACAAACACAGTGGATCAACAATGGAAGTTAAGGCAGCAGAGGTCTGAGTAGGGCGGGCAGGAGGGGTGTGGATGGGTCCAACATCCCTCCTGCCCGCCCTACTAACATGTGTTGTTGTCCCGCGGTGTTTCCCTCTGACACTGCCGGGCACGTGTGACTAAGCAGCGGTGTTTAATGACTTAGGACTGAGACCGGGATGTGTTATCACATAACACATGTACTGTTATCTGACTAACAGAAATTACAGCTTTAAATGAACACGTTTCTTTCAGTCAACATGACAAACAATAAATAAGTCAGTGTCTGTATTCCTGAGTCAATGGAGGAAACTCCCAAAGGTAGAATGAGGGCCTTCTGCTTCTAGAAAAACAAACCCTGTGTGTTCCAGCAGAGCTTTAAAGAGCCATCAAACAGGAAATGAACAGCACAGAACTATAAACTCTGCTTAATGTGGATCTGTCACGTCTGTCCTTAATTTGCATCGTAAGGTCGACATCAGGAGGGATACAGATCCGACAGATCAGTCTGCATCTCTGCTTTTAAGGTCAAGATTTTATGGGCAGCTGCTGAATTCAGATTAATGAAACCTTTATAAGTGACATGTACCTGCAGACCAGTGGTTATACAGTGCAGTTTGATTTAACATATTGTTTGCATCATATCCTTCTCATAGTTTTTAAAGACCGACCGTCTGTCTTTGATCCATACAACAGAAAAACATGAACCATGGAGACAAACATGTGGACACTTTCTTTCCTACGGTTCACCATGACATAATGAGCGAATGAATGTGTGAGTCACTTGCTCTCAGCCTTCACAAAGACAGACTCCGACTGTTTGTGTTGGATCACTCAGGCTTTATTTCCCTCTTTTTCAAACACACAGTAAACTTCAGACACAGTGATGGCTGAGCCACATGAACCACACCTCAGAGCAGAAACAGATTTTTACATATGACACGTATTTTGGTTATTTTCAGTCCGTACAGTACGGGGTTAAAGAGCGGCTGACACGTGAGGAAGTATAATGATAAAAATATTCGTAATATGTTGGGAACATTGCTCATGTCAAACCTGCTCTGCAACACCTCACAACAAACCCCGAAGGAGAAGTTGAGCAGAGAGGCGAGGTGAGGTGTGCAGGTGCTGACGGCTTTCTGTCTCGTCTGTTTACAGCCAGAGAAACAGACGTAAAGAATCCGAATGTAAGTGTAAAAGATAAAAACCAGAGGAGTAAAGACTGCGACGGCACTGACGAAGAGTCCATAAATGTTTAAGGCCAAGCTGCTGGAGCACGCCAGTTTGACGATAGAGAAGTTCTCACAGTACACTTTGTTGATGACGTTCCCACACAGCGTTAAAGACGAACTCAACAACGTTGTGCAGACAACTATCAGGAGAGCAGGTAACCAAATCATAGCAATGAGCACAGCGACCTTTTTCAATGTCATACGAGTGTTATACTGCAGAGGATAACAGATGGCCAGATATCTGTCATAAGACATGACGGCCAAGTTGAAAAATTCCACACAGACGTAAGAGTACACACAGAAAATCTGCAGGAAACAAGCTGAAGCAGAGACAGTGTGAATGTCAGAGAGGATCTGAAGCAGCAGCAATGGAAACAACCCTGTACTACCATACAGTTCATTTACAAACAGGCTGCACAGAAACATGTACATAGGTTCATGTAAGCTTCTGTTCACACAGATAACCACAATCAGCAGGAGGTTGGAGCAAAGAATCATCATGTATAAGGACGTCAGAATGGTGAAAAAGACGTAGTTTACCAGCCTGGAGTCAACGTAGGCAACAAGTTTGAAATATGAAAACTGTGTGTAGTTCATCATGATCCTCCACAGGTTCATGAGGCAGTCTGCTCACAAGACCGAGTCATCATCATCGAGTGAATCACACCGACTGAGCTGAGACTCTGCGTCTGCCTCTTTTAACCTATTCCAGTTTGGGTCAACCCACTCACTGACCTCATCACATATCCCTCTGACTTTTAATACTTTCACTGTAACTGTTTAAAAAATATGTCCACCAGATATTTAAGAATTTTAAAGACGAGACTGCTCAGTCCAGTTAAAGACTTTTCAAACCCGGTCTCACTCTGAAGTCATTGAAAATCTGACCCACACATGTCATGTGACTGAAACCAGGTAACACACTGAGATATGAGCACATGAAACACATTCATCACCACCGAATCACATCAGACTCAAACCACAGTGAACACATGACATCGGCTAAATGTAACCACGTGTGTGTGTGTGTTGGCTAAATGTAACCGTGTGTGTGTTGGCTAAACGTAACCATGTGTGTGTGTTGGCTAAACGTAACCACGTGTGTGTGTTGGCTAAACATAACCATGTGTGTGTGTGTTGGCTAAACGTAACCACGTGTGTGTGTGTTGGCTAAACGTAACCATGTGTGTGTGTGTTGGCTAAATGTAACCACGTGTGTGTGTTGGCTAAA